GTCGCTGATCACTTACCATCAGGTAAAGCTCGGTTTAAGATAAATAATATGAAGTACTAGCTATTCTCGCGCGGTTTCACCCGCTGCTCGGCTCTCTTTAATTGTAGCGTGTTATAGCCTATAGCACTCAGGAACATTGTAGCTATCTATCAGTGAAAGAATTTTGGCAATCCGACCAGTGGTTCCAAAGATTACCCCCTACATACAAACTTACAAATTTTACCTCTTTATAATATTAGTATTGAAGACAAAATAACCACCCCTTAACAAGTTATTCCGTACGATTACGCCCCCTCGCCGGGGCCAACCGAGACCAGCAGAATTATAGTTAAAAAAACATTATGCACACACATATTGCATTCCACAATACCATAGCGTATTGGGGATGGAATAGTTTAGGGGGATGATTTGAAGAAAATTTATCGTTTGGTCAAATAGAATAAATTTGTAAGAGATCACATTTCTTTTTATGGGATAATTCGGCAAACGAGCAGATGGATTACCTGGTGGTAAGCAATCGGTGCCGCCCATTGACACCTACAACACCAAAAGACCTTTTGGGGATAAGGGTTTTGGATATGAGTTGAGCAGGGAAGGGGTAGGGATTGGGCCTCCGGTAACATTCTCAAAACACAACTCTGTAATAGTTTCACGCCAGTTTTCTGTGAGGCCGTGGTATCACTCCGGTCGAGCCGACCCATTCGTGCCGAAACATGGCTCTCTCACGCTTGGCTCTCCTACACCTTCGCTGTTCTTTTCATGAGCATCCTAAACCACTTACACATTGCACTTGGACTGCGTGATTCTTATTATTATTTTGAGGGGTGAATTACAACTAATGTCTTGTCGCTGCTCGGCTCTTACAAATCGTAGTGTAATATTTTATAACCTAAAGCCTTCCTCGATTAATTTACAAAACAAACACAAAATTCGAACCAGTTGTTTTGGTGATAAGCGCGTTCAAACAAACAAACTATTAGAAAAGATTTTTATCTTCCAATCTTAATGCGGAATAGTAAACTTACCAACATTCAATATTATAGTATAGTTCTATAAACTAGACAATTGACGCAGTGGACGGGCAACTAGCTGCTGTGCAACGTGCCACGGGTTCGATTCTCCCAAAGAACAACACTTTGTGTGATCCACAAATTGCGTGCGTTCGTGCAGCGGAATGTTGTTGAATTTAAAGATTTTAATTATGCAGATATTTAGTGTATGACGTCGTATAATTGTGTATGGTAAAAAAAAATTTGTACACGCAACCATTGTGGAGAAATTCACCAAAAACTGATTCCGCTGGGCGAACGTTGTCCTGGTGGAACTTTTTTAATCCATAGACTTTAGAAGAAAAGAGATGTATCCAAAAATTAGTGTGTATTTGTGTGTAATTGTGTATGTATGAATAAAACTAGTGCATGCATAAACTTCGGAGAAATTCAAGTTTCCGCTACGCGAACGTTTGGCCATTAGCTAGTTTTCATATAAAGCGCTTACATAGAGAGCTGTAGATTTTTACATACGTTGTTTTGAATTTGTTTATATTTGTTTAAAAAACAGATTTAGAAAAAATCGTAGGGTTTAAAAGATAAAAATATAAACGTAAAATACGCTTATTAGGTCTTAGTTCTTAAAGTATGCACTTTGGGGTCTAGATTTTCACGTTTATACAAACCTTGTAAGTGTCTGCAACATGTTGCCAAGTATCAATGATGTTCCGTTAGTAATTAAATAGTTATAGGACAAATTTACCATGAATAGATCACTGTTTACAAAGCAGTCAAATATCACGACGTTCTAAATGAATTGCATGGTAAAATGTATGCCAATAATTAGTGTACCTATTCATTCAACTATTCACATTCAAAATTTCATGACATTAAATTCAGTAATTAAAGAAAAACAATTATAATACTGACGAAGCATCGAAAACCTACATAACCCGACCAAGTTCGGATGGCTACAAAAAAGCGGCCGTGCCATATATCTAAGAAACGTTCTTAACTTTCCAATATAGCATTTATTAATATGGTACAGTATCGTACACAAGCGTTAGGAAAAAATAAAACAATTGCATTTCTTGAATGAAAAATATTTTTTTAATAATAACGCCACTATCTACGATAAAAACAAATCTTCAATTAACAAGTACTTCTCTATTTAAATCCGCGTACAAAAATATTTTTAATTACATATAATACTTAATTATGTAATAATAATAACGTTAACAAACGCTTGCAATGACAGCAATAGACTTAAATGTGTTTTAACTAAAATAGATTATGAACTAGCTTTTGCCCGCAACTTCGCGTGGATGACGAAACATAGGGTAAGTATTTCGAGCTTCAAAAAAAATTAAAATCACATCACATAACTAACCTATTCAGTTGTTTAGATTTGATCAACATTAAAAAAGTGCTTATAAACTAAAACATTGGTATAAAAAAGGTATTTTCAAGAAAATATTCTTAAATGAGTAGCAAATACTGTAAATAACCTTAATATTTCTAAGTATATGTCCAAAAATAAATGACCTATAAATTATTTCGAAACAACAAGTGTGTTATTACCTGTACCAATTCAATACCGGTATTATACTGTAAATTTTGGGATGTTACCTAAATATATTGCACAGCCGCTTTTTTGTAGCCATCCGAACTTGGTCGGGTTATGTAGGTTTTCGATGCTTCGTCAGTATTATAATTGTTTTTCTTTAATTACTGAATTTAATGACCTGAAATTTTGCATGTGAATAGTTGAATGAATACACTAATTATTGGCATACATTTTACCATGCAATTCATTTAGAACGTCGTGATATTTGACTGCTTTGTAAACAGTGATCTATTCATGGTAAATTTGTCCTATAACTATTTAATTACTAACGGAACATCATTGATACTTGGCAACATGTTGCAGACACTTACAAGGTTTGTATAAACGTGAAAATCTAGACCCCAAAGTGCATACTTTAAGAACTAAGACCTAATAAGCGTATTTTACGTTTATATTTTTATCTTTTAAACCCTACGATTTTTTCTAAATCTGTTTTTTAAACAAATATAAACAAATTCAAAACAACGTATGTAAAAATCTACAGCTCTCTATGTAAGCGCTTTATATGAAAACTAGCTAATGGCCAAACGTTCGCGTAGCGGAAACTTGAATTTCTCCGAAGTTTATGCATGCACTAGTTTTATTCATACATACACAATTACACACAAATACACACTAATTTTTGGATACATCTCTTTTCTTCTAAAGTCTATGGTTTAAAAAAAGTTCCGCCAGGACAACTTTCGCCCAGCGGAATCAGTTTTTGGTGAATTTCTCCACAATGGTTGCGTGCACAAATTTTTTTTTACCATACACAATTATACGACGTCATACACTAAATATCTGCATAATTAAAATCTTTAAATTCAACAACATTCCGCTGCACGAACGCACGCCCACAAATTGTTTTTCCAGGTCTGAAAATCGCAGTGTGGGGCAACATTGTTTTGTTAAAGAAAAAAATATCTGAATGTATGAGAAAAAGTTCTTATACTTGAGTAAGGAAAAAAGATACTGTGACATACGGACGTACGGACAAACAAAACAGACTTATCGAATTTATAATTTGAAAAGATTCCATTCTTCTTAAGTGTGGGAGAGCCATGCTTCAGCACGAATGGGTCGGCTCGACCGGAGTGATACCACGGCCTCACAGAAAACCGCCGTGAAACAACCACAGCGTTGTGTTTCGCCGTGTGAGTGAGGTTACCGGAGACCTTATCCTTCCCCTCCCTCCCCAATCCCTTAATCTCCCAAATCCATAATCCCCAAAAGGTCGGCAACGCACTCGTAGCTGCTCTATTGTTGCGAATGTCCATGGGCGGCGCTGATTGCTTACCATCAGGTAATCCGTCTGCTCATTTGCCGACTTATTATAACATAAAAAACAAATTCTTTCTTATTTATCTTTGGAATTTCAAATAACTTCCAGTATTAAAGTATCACAGAATAGCGGTAACTTAGATAAAAAACTACTTTCGTATTCATAACAATAAAATTAGTTATTTTTGCTAGAATTAATAAGGAAGTAATTTATCTAACGGATAAAATATGCAGAATTTGTGATAACAGTGACTTTGATGCATCGGTTGCATAATAATGAAAATGAGGGTACCTGTAATGGCATAAAATGCATAATGACACTTAAGTTTATCCAGGTAGCTTTTATGAAGTAAAAAGCTTGAAAAATCCTCGTTTCTCGTTGTAGTGACCTGCTGCATGAGGGTAAAAAACCTGGCAAGTACCAATGTGACTTTTTCCGAGTTATATGTACTTTCTATGATTATTTAGACACCACTGACTTATAATACGGTGAAGGTAAACATCGTGAGGAAACCTGGACTTGTAATTTCTAATTATAAGTTTGATATCGACAATCCGCCTTGAGCAAACGTCGTGGTTAATGCTCAAACCTTTCTCCGTGTGAGAAGAGACCTTTGCTCAGCAGTGGACACTTATAGGCTAATGAAATGGACCTCGTTTTTCAAAGAGTCGTAATTACAACTGACCTTTCGGGATAGATTCTGGAACAGGTTAATTGGCAAAGAGGTCGTTTTAGTATTACCGAAAATCACTTTTGAATGTTAAACAAAACATCTGTGTTGGCACTCTGAGACGCAGTCCGTGCGCTCAGGTCTGGTTCTGGTCGGGTTATGTGCGACCCTTGCTAGTTGACCGCAGACCCGCGCTTCCGCACCGGTATGATACCACGGCCTCGCAGTACACCCTGTATAGGTCTGTTTAAAACTGTTTGAGTCAGGAGCTGAGAATAATTTTGAACCTTCCAGCCCTCTCAAAACTCGTCCAGTGCTGCGGATATCCAGAGACGACGCCGATCTCCCACCATCAGGGGATCTGTCTGCTCGTTTGATCTCATTATAATCTCTTCTTCTTTTTGTTCCAGATGAGGTATACTTGGGCCTGGGTTGGACGTGGTTGACACTATGGAGATCTACTGGGTGCTGCTGGCCGCCGTCTTCATAGCTGCACAGGCTCAAAATAATCGGAGTAAGTCCATATTATAAGTTACTAGCTACTCTCGCGCGGTTTCACCCGCTGCTTGGCTCCATTTAATCGTAGCGTGATATTTTATAGCCTATAGCACACAGGAACATTGTAGCTATCTATCAGTGAAAGGATTTTGGCAATCCGACCAGCGGTTCCAAAGATTACCCCCTACATACAAACTTACAAATTTTACCTCTTTATTATATTAGTAGCTCCTTGATCTGGCAGGTGTTCATGGGTGACGTTCTTTGCTTACCATCAAGTAATCCCTCTACTCATTTTTACCCGACTACGGCAAAGCAGAAGGAGGGAGGACGGTTATGATTTTGACAGGCTATGTATGTATGTATGTTCATCTGTTCCCTCGTAACTTATAAACTACGCACTACTAACACATTTAAGTGTGGGAGCGCCATGCTTCGGCACGAATGGGTCGGCTCGACCGTAGTGATACCACGGCCTCACAGAAAACCGGCGTGAAATAACCACAGCGTTGTGTTTCGCCGTGTGAGTGAGGTTACCGGAGGCCCAATCCTTCCCCTCCCCCAATCCTTCCTAAATCCCTAAATCTCCAAATCCCTAATCCCTAAAAGGTCGGCAACGCACTCGTAACTCCTCCGTTGCGAGTGTCCATGGGCGGCACTGATTGCTTACCATCTGGTAATCCGCTGCTCGTTTGCCGACCTATTAAATAATAATAATAAAAAAAAACTACTTATCAGAATTCGACAAATCATTAGAAACATCATAATTGTCCGTTAGTTATAGGCTATATGGGGTATCCGAAAATCTAATGTGGCGTCCTCTAGCGGATAAAATATACAGAGTAAAAAAAGTTAAGATAAATATGCCGTGTTTGGTGTCATTTGAAAGCGCTTTACTTGTACATTTCGAATACTTATATAAATATTACTAGCATTTGCTTGTGACTTTACCTATATGTAACGTGTGACTACGCCTTTCAGTATTCTAAAAATCTTGCTTTATACTTTTTCAGTAGTTTTTTATCGCAGTTGAGTTTTAGTTTTTTTTACTTTATATTATGTTTGAAAATTAAACCTCTTACACAACTTTCATCATTCTTAAGTTTCGTGCTTGCCTACCAAACAATAAGAAAAATAGTTTAGTGTGCCAAGTTCGGCACGAATGGGTCGGTTCGACAAGAGCGATACCACGGCCTCACAGAAAACCGGCGTGACACAACCACAGCGTTGTGTGCTTATCGGAAGCCCAATCCATCCCCCATCCTCAATTACCTCATCCTCAAAAGACAAGGCACTCGTAACTCCTCCGTTCCGTCCATGGGCGGCGCTGATTGCTTACCATCAGGTAATCCGTCTGCTCGTTTTCCTCTATATCACATAACAAAAACATGTCTGTGCAAATTGTACTATGGGGCTGTTTTTGGATTTATAGAAAACTAGCGGCCCGCCCCCGCTTCGCACGGGTCGCACTATCTCGCTATCAAAGGCTCACTTTTTCCCAATTTTCCCCTCTACTTTTCTAATATTTTCTGTGATAAGAACCTTCTCCTAACAATTGCAAACACAACAAAAAAAGAATTAGCAAAATTGGTCCAGGCGTTGTTGAGTTATGCGCTTACCAACACATTTTGCGATCCATTTTTATATATAAAGATTTTCGTAATAGACCCATGGAGACTTGAATCTTGCTTTGTTTATTGGCAATATTTTGACTTCCTATTATAAGGGAGATGGGACTTATAACACAATTTAAAAAAAGTAGCTGTCAGTGTTATTTCTAGCCCTTCTGTTTTCCCCTTGGGTATACAACCTCCTTACACAACTTCATGAGGCGAAAACCATTAAAACAAAACAGTGCCACATCCCTCGGATATAATAAATATGGCGATTCTACCGGAAGTAAGGACGTTACGTCACATCCGGTAGCGAAATGTCACACGGCGGTAGGTAATTGGATAATCATGTTTTCGGTTTTGTTTATTTGTTTTTGGAACGTTTTATTAGTAGTTATTGCCATTATTGTTTAGTTTAAGAGGGGGATGCTTGCGCTTACTATTTATTTTGTTTTGTCGTGTAGTAAAAGCATTGAGAGATTGGAAATTGATGCTAGGCAATCATAATTAATCAGCGCTGCCCATGGACACTCACACCAACGAAAGAGTGACGAGTGTATTGCCGACATTTTGGGGATTTAGGGATTGGGGAAGGGAAAGGATTGGGCCTCCGGTAACCTTACCCGCGAAACACGAAGCTGTGGTTGTTCTATGCCAGTTTTCTGTGAGGCCGTGGTATCACTTCGGTCGAGTTGACCCATTCTAGCTGAAGCACGACGAAGGGATCGTGTGTTATGATGTTATATTTTTTGGCGTTTGTGTGGTGTAACTAGAACAATACCAATATTTTTTTTGATAAGTCGGCAAACGAGCAGTCAGATTACCTGAGGGTAAGCAATCAGCGCCGCCTGTGGGTACCCGCATACTAGAGAAAATACGATTGAGATGCCGGCGCTTTTGAGGGATTAGAGTATTTTGGAAATTCAAGGATTGAGGGAAGAGAAGCAGGATTGGGCCTCCGGTAACCACACTCACACGGCGAAACACAACGGTGTAGTAGTTTCACGCCGGTTTTCTGTGAGGCCGTGGTATCACTCCGGTCGAGCCGACCCATTCGTGCCGAAGCATGGCTCTTCCACACTTAAACTGACACAACCAGCCTCTCAAAAAAAAAACGGAATAAGTTGATCAAAACTTTGCCCAAAGTGTTGAAATAAATCATAGACATCCATTCCTATTCCACAGACAAGACTACCATAGACATATTAAATCACACTTTTAAAGTTTTTCATACTTTTCGAGAAACTTTAGGCATTATATCATACTTTCTCGAATGGTTCTAAATGGGAATTCAAATATGGCTGCCATCGAAAAACCGTTAAGTTTGAAAAATTCGAACGTATTTTATTATTTCTGTCACAATTTTTTTTTCGCTTTGTTTTGTTTAAAAAAAAACAGTGTTTCTGTTAGAATGGATTTTCTTCTGTGATATGAGCTGACGGATTACCTGATGGTAAGCAATCGTCGCCGCCTATGGACACCCAAAACATTATAAGAGTTACAAGTGCGTTGGGGGCATTTTGGAGATAGGAGTCTTGGAGATTTGGAGATTTGGGGATAATTATTTCTTTCTTTCTTTCTTTCTTTCAATCGACGTCGCCCAAGGATACCCAGGAACACCAGAGAAGTTACGAGTGCATTTAGGTCTTTTGAGGATCTGAGATTCAGTGGTTTGGGATGGAGAATATGATTCGGTCTTTGATATCCTCAATCTAAGGGAATAAAATAATGGAAACGTTGTTTCACGTCGGTTTTCTGTGAGGCCGTGGTATCACTCCGGTCGAGCCGACACATTCGACGAACAAAGACAAGAAAGTCCATTGTTTATTTGTACTAGCGATAGCTTCGCAAGGCAGCAAAGCTGATACTTAATGTCTCCACTATTTAACGGATGTCATTATACATATAAACATTCCTCTTCAATCACTCTATCTATTAAAAAAACCGCATCAAAATCCGTTGCGTAGTTTCAAAGATTTAAGCGTAAATAGGGATATAGGGACAGAGAAAGCGACTTTGTTTTATACTATGTAGTTCTAGTTATTTAATGCTGTCTTTATTTTCAGATGACGGACCCCGGTTTTTGTCCAGGGGTCACTCGTTCCGAACCGTAGTTGGGGACACGCTGCTACTACCGTGTCAAGTTCAGAACTTAGGTAAGTAACCAAACAAGAGAAGTGGAAACAATATTCTCTACCTCAAGTGATATTTTCCACCCCCTCTCTTCACGTGGGTGTTACATACCCGAATAAGGATTTAAACATTTTATTTGTTAATAAAACGTATACAGCCTTCCGTTTCTAGTGATTTGGTTAAAGCAACCGCTGTTCTTCATGTGGGTATCACACACCCCACTAAGGTGATCTTGATAGCGATAAGGCCAACAGCGCTCTCTGATAAACCTATACCTTTTAAACTGCGATCTCCAACCCGCCTGTCTGCGGAGATTGTGGCAAACCCCTCTTATGTAGAGGAGGCATATACTCCAACAGTGGACCTTCAAGTGATGCTGAAGGCTTCCTATGTATAAATTCATTAACTCCTATTTTCTTGGGTTCATCATCAGCCTATAACTGCCCACTGCTGACCAAAGACCTCTTCTCACACGCAGAAGGTTTGAGCATTAACCACCACGCTTGCTCAAGGCGGATTGGCGACTTCAAACTTATCATTAGAAATTATAAGTCCAGGTTTCCTCACGATGTTTACCTTCACAGTATGTCAGTGGTGTCTAAATAATCATAGAAAGTACATATAACTCGGAAAAAGTCACATTGGTACTTGCCAGGTTTCGAACAATGAGAAGCGGGCGCCTTAACTCCGAACCACTATACTTAACATTTTCTAGGTTATTTTTTTATTAATTATTACCTAATGAGACTTAACATCAATTTTAATTAGGTATCACTTATTCTATAAGACTTCATTCTAAACTTGGAATCTGAATCCGCTGTGAGTAGTAGTACACTCGCGCTACACTTGCGAGTTGAACTAAATTGACCGCAACATTTTGATAGATAAAGTATGAAATGACGTTAAAAGTGGCATTCTATAATGTAATTTTCCCGTCACTTCGCACTCGAACAAAATTCAAAATCAAAAATATAGAATCGACGTGCTAAACTGGACATATTTGAGAGACACGCAATATTTTTTTTTTAGATTTTCTTCCTCTAATATTCTTTAAATGTTTTGTTTAATTATGTAGTTTTCTGCACTGTTTGTGTTTGAATGCCAAAAAAATATTTCTCTTTCTTTTTTTCTTTCTAAAGAAGTTTCAACCATAACCTTTAATATTTAAAATTCTTTTTCCCTTTGTACACAGGTTCTTTAGTCCTCCTATGGCGAAGAGGGCCGGCAGTCCTCACAGCAGCCAGCTTGATGGTAACGAGAGACGAGAGGTTCAGACTAGTCGACGGATATAATCTACAAATCACCGATGTTGGACCACAGGTACGTACAAGAGTAAGCCGTCTTCTCTTTCTGAGAAGCAGTTGTGGTCGCAAAGAAGGGAACAGAGTGAGTGAGGAGCTCCTCTCACGCCCCAGCCACCACAGCAGGCCACACTCCACCGTATGCGCGGGTCTGCAGACGGCGAGTAAGGATAGCTTGCCCCAGACCCGAGTGTACAGCGCGTTGGGTTCCGCGCGCGCCTCAAAGCCCCAATAGACCATCAAAGACGGGACCCTTATGGGCTGATGTTTAGCCGGAGCTGCGGGACAAGCGCTATAAAAAAGGAACGGGGAGGTTTTTAGTCAGTAATATTCTGACACTCCCTCCAACCCCACCGTGGGCGGGAGAAATCATCCGACGATTTTTTCCTCACAAAAAACCCTAGGCACAAGAGTAACGATGGAGTTTCTTGCTCGTTCTTCTCCATTCGAATCTACAATTTGGAACGAGCACCTAGCTTTACTGACGAACAGACTGACAGACTATTATTCTATTTTGACGTTTGAAAATTACCCGTTTAGTTTAGTTGTAATAATAGTAATTTATAGAGTAAGAGAGCCATGCTTAAGCACAAATGGGTCGAGTCGACGGGAGCGTTATGACAGCCTCACAGAAACCCGGCGTGAAACAACCACAGCGTTGCGTTTCGCCGTGTGAGTGAGGTTACCGGTAGCCTAATCCTTCCCTTCACCCATCGCTTCCCAATCCCTAAATCTCAAGAACCTTTATCCACAAAAAGGTCGGCAGCGCACTCGTAACTCCTCTTTTCTCGTTCTTGGATGTCCATAGGTGGCGCCGATAGCTTACCGTCAAGTAATCCGTCTGCAATTTTCCTTACAAAAGCAATATATTTTCTTTGAATTGCCTTCCTTTGGCCGACTCATGAATTTTAATTAACATCGAGTCCAGTAATTTATCAACTATCACTTGATTAAATCTTAACTTAATGACTTTTAAGAGATCATAAGAATAAATTACATTTTTCTTCTTGTCATTCTACTTATTTTTTTTTATGTAATAGGTCGGCAAACGAGCAGACGGATTACCTACCTACCCGCAACGGAGGAGTTACGAGTGCGTTGCCGACCTTTTAGGGATTAGGGAGTTGGAGATTTAGGGATTGAGGACGGATTAGGGGAGGGGAAGGATTGGGCCTCCGGTAACTCACTCACACGGCGAAACACAACGCTGTGTTTGTTTTACGCCGGTTTTTTGTGAGGCCGTGGTATCACTCCGGTCGAGCCGAACCATTCGTGCCGAAGCATGTCTCTCCCACACCTTAATATTATATTAATATAAACGAGAAAGCTTGTAAGTATATGTGTGACTCTAGCGCGCAAAAACGACTAAATAGATTTTTATAAAGTCTGACAGACATAGGTATAGTATGGAATAACACATAGGGTAATTGATATTATTTTTTTATATTCCTATCTTAAAAATTTTCGTGTGGTATTTTTCGGGTTTGGAAATTTCATAGTAGCTACATTATATCACGGAGCATTTTTTGAATGAGCATTTTCAAATGACTTCTCTTAAGGCAAGGCAATAAGTGCGCCTTATGTACCCTTTTTGCCACCGTAAGGGCGGGTCTGAGGACGGCGAGTAAGGGTAGCTCGCCGCCCGCGCCTCAAAGAGCCAAAAGACAACCACAGACGGGGCCCTATAGGGCTGATGTTCAGCCGGGGTTTCGGGGATTTTTTTTTGTGAGACTAGCCCGCCCCTACGTCCCTCCTAAACCACTGTAACTTCTGTGCACCAGGATCTACAGTAGATACAACCATGAAAACACCGGAACACTGAAGTCCGGCGCGTCCCAGAGACATGAATGACAGTCTTGGATCCCGCAACGAAATAAATCAGAAGATATTATTTGAGAAGAAGAAAAAACTAAATAGTTTCCACTTCCCTCGGTAAATTTAAAAGCCCTCGGTGTAGAGTAGGAGAAGAAACGAGGGTTTTCAGTCAGTAAGAGTCTGACGCTCCCTCCCGACCTTGGGCAGGAGAAGACATTTGATGATTTTTTCGTCATAAAACAGTACAAAAATGTAGGTATACTTTTTAATAATGTGTTAAGATGTAAATAAACGTCTATATTAGGCATCTCCATAATTACCAGCTGAAAAAAAAACTATGAAAATAGTTAAAAACAATCTTAAAATTCAAATCCAGCTTTTTATGACTAACACGAATATCTTTTATAATACCAAACATCGTTCTACAAATTTTGGTAGCCGTCAAAAAATGCTAAATAGCGCCCTAAACGGTAATTGGCTTGGGAAAATATGATAATAGCCGCATAAAAACCTTTGTGGTATATATACATCCTCGTTATTTTTTATGCGTTGCAACACTGAGGTACGATTTCCCGCGCAATTTTAGTCGGCCATGATGATTTTTTTTATATATTTTTATTTTGCACGTCGTAAAAAAATTTTGCACAAGGTTTTTTTGAGTTTTCGATTCCCTATTTAAATGATTTTATTAACTTAAGTGTGATTGAAAAGAATATTTAGCATGCCTATTTTTGTTTTTTTTTTTGTATGACATAGGTCGGCAAACGAGCAGACAGATTACCTGATGGTAAGCAATCAGCGCCGCCTATTGACATTCGCATCAACGGAGGAGGGACGAGAACGTTGCCGACCTTTTAGGAATTATATTTTTGGAGATTTAGGGCTTGGGGAGGGGAAGGATATGATGGTATATCTCCGGTAACCCCACACACGCAGCGAAACATAACGCTGCGGTTGTTTCACGCTGGTCGTGGTATCACTCCGGTCGAGCGTCGGCTCCATTCCTGCTGAAGAATGGCTCTCGCACATTTTCGTTTTGTATATCTGTTGACAGTATTATCCTACTCTGGTTTTATGTCTTATTTTTGTTTACAAATATACAAGTTCACATACTCATAAAACCTAATAATTTGTTGCGTGTAAACATTAATCGCGTAAGATTATAAGCAAGCAAGGTTACGGGTCAAGATTTGATTATTTTTCGCCGTCAAAAAAAGCCTATTGTTAAATCATATTATTTTATTATAATTTAAAAAACAAAAAATGTCTTTCAATACGTTGCACTAGCTATTTCCATGCGGTTTCACTCTCTGTGTTAGATCCAACTGGACGCAGCGTGCTATTTTACAGCCTTCCTCAAAAAATGGACTACCTAATACAAAAACAAAGTCTTAATTCGAACCAGTAAATCCAGAGATATGAACGTTCAAGGAAACAAACCAAAAAACTCAGCCTTATTTATTTAATGATCGGATGGATCGTGATCATCAGCCTATACGTATCCACTGCTGAGCAAAGGCCTCTTCTCACACGGAGAAGGCTTTGTACAATTTCACATACACATCACTCTCAGAACAACAATTTTATGGGTCACACAAAGGGTTGTCCCGTGCGGCTGCCAGTTGCTCAACCATCGCTCCAACAATGCAGTAAAATTTAGGGATTTTAAAACGTTTAATAAATGTTACCTCTCGATTTCAGGATGCTGGAGACTACGTCTGCCAAATATCAGACCGCGTAGCGAGAGATCAAGTTCACACAGTTGAAGTGCTCGTCCCTCCCAGTGTGAGGGCGTCGCCAGAGTCTAGACACGCCGCCGCTAGAAGAGGTGGCGCTGCGGTGCTAGAGTGTCGCGCGGCTGGCAACCCCGTGCCAACTGTCACTTGGCACAAACTTGTAAGTGTTTATGATTAGTAATTTAAAAGTAATAAGGTTGTTGATTGACTTTAAGCATAATATCTTTATTTATCCAAACTAATATGCGAAAGTAACTCTGTCTATCCGTATGTCTTTTCAACAGACAAGTTAAAACGCAGACACGACACTGGACAAAATCCAATAGTGGGGCAACTCTTTTATAAATAATAATAATACGCTTTCACCCACTACTCGGCTCCATTTGATCGTAACGTGATGTTTTATAGCCTATAGCCCTCAGGAACATTGTAGCTATCTATCAGTGAAAGAATTTTGGCAATCCGACCAGCGGTTCCAAAGATTACCCCTTACATACAAACTTACAAACCTGTGGCGACATCTATCGCACACACGCAGTAATGTGACGACTCACATAAACGGAGAACAATATATTCAACAGATGGCGTAACACATTCTACATCGCGGTATAAGAGTTTTCAACACAATTAGAACCGATACAAAAATCCCGACAATAACCGTGGGGAAGTACCCCGTAGACAAAACACCCGTCTGGTCGGAGGATCCAGGAGGACCTCCCTTTTCAATGGAGGATGAGGAACTTTCCACCCATTTCTCTCGTACCTCTAAAAATTTAAAAATTTTACCTCTTTATAATATTAATATAGATAATTTTGTCTTTATCTTTCTTTGACTTTGCCTCTGTCGTACACGCAATAGAGCATCTTTTATATAAGTAGGTGATTCCTGTTTTCCAGAATGACACTAATACAAGACTGGGGGAAGGCCCACAGCTTCAACTGTCCAGACTAGAGAGGGGACACAGTGGTAGATACGCTTGTACCGTCGATAATGGCGTAGGTGCACCTCTAGTCGCCGAATTCCAGTTGCAAGTTTTATGTGAGTATTTGTTTAAGGATAAATCTGGTATGTGAGAGTGTAATGTATGAGAAAAAATTGTCATACAGTTATGCTTGGGCCACACTACCGGGAAATGCAGTTAATTATCGCGATAATGGACATTAATCGTTGGTGTAATTTGATCACTAAACAAATGATTAAAGGTATATTTAAAAATTTTCAATATCATTAATTATCTCGATAATTCTGGGTCTAGGTCTTGGGACTGGGTGTGATGTGTCTGTGAAATTGTATGTTTGTAAACGCATCCACGACACAGGAGAAAGTCCTAGTGTGGGGCAAGGTTTTTAAAAAACAAAAAATAATGTTTGCTTTTCCTGTTAGTTTGGCCCAAGCATTGGAGGTTGACAACGTTTCGCTTATTGTAGGCAAAAAAGCAGATGGATAACCTAATGATAAGGAATTAGTGCCGCCCATGGACCCTTGTAATTTTGTAAAAGGAGTTACTACAAGTGCGTTGCCGGCGTCTTCTAGGTTATAAGGGATTTAAAGATGGGGTGGTGTACTGATCAATGTAATTTTATTTGCAGATCCACCAGAAATTACAGTTGAGAGATCGTGGGTCCACACCGGCGAAGGGTTCCGAGCTGAACTACTCTGCACAGTCCTGGCAGATCCTCCAGCTGAGGTAAGGATCTTTCCGATAGGCAAAATATTGGCAATCGACGTTCAGTCGTAGAATGTTTAGAAGATCTTGACTATCTGACCTTGGTAGCTGATTCTGACAACGCAGCTTTTGAAACTTAGTCTTTAGCTTATTGAGTAGAATTAGGCATCAAAAGAGCAGACAGATCTCCTCCAAAGATGATAAGCAACTGGTACTGCCCACGGACATCTGCAACACTGCGGCATTCTAAGAGTATTGCTCCTTTAGGGATTAGCGGATTGGCGGATTTTAGAATTGTGTTTAGGGATGAGGGTTCAGTCTTCTTTGAATACAATTCTCTAAACCTCTATGAAAAGACAGACAAACATAATATGATATTCTAATTTCCAGGTGACTTGGTATCAAAACTCTTTCCCTCTGAGCGCCTCCGAGAGGGTCACAATGTCCGCAAGAGGTAACAACCACACACTCCTCATTGCAAATGTCCAGCCTGAAGATTTTGGTAACTACAGGTAAGTGGATTTTGTATTGAGTATTTATCTTTATGGATATCTGCAACTTTCAAGAAGTTGCTAGTTTTTGCCAGCTGTTGGTTTGACATGATTTGACATTGGCACTTTGACATTTTGAGTAAGTTAATATAAAAATCAAAGAGTTTGATTATGACTTAGATTTAACAATTAATTTATTTTTACACGTCAAAGTTATTATATATAAAAAACAAGATGAGCTATTTGACTACTCTGAGAAGAAAATCCGAAATTAACTCCGAGGATCTTTTAAAGTTCAGACAATGTAAAAAAATATTTAATGTGCGAGAACCGTTCAAGTAGACTCTGTAGTGGTCTTTTGAATAAAGAGTCATACACGTGTTAATTTTATGTAGGCCTAGGCCCCACCGGAGCTTAGCGTCTAGCGTTATATCAAAAATACTGTTGTATTGACAGGACTCAACTCCTGGCCCGTGATAATGACGCTGCTTTTTACCTGTTTAACATTTGGTGTTGTTTTAAATACTTTTGGTTTCATTTAGTAATAAGTTATTAGCATCAAACCAGTGTACTATTTCTAAAAGATAAATGTTTACATTTTTAATAACTGATTGTTGATGACTGAGTTTGAATTATAGTGAAGTATCACCAGCAAACACTACTATCTTATATCATGTCTCTTACAAGTAAAGTAAGGCGAGTCATATAAATGTATGGAAGAAATCAAAACGGGCCTAGAATCGAACCCTGTGGAACACCCATCTTTACAAAAGACCCAGCAGAAATCATTCCGTTTACTTCAACTTTCTGTACCTTTTTACTCAAGTATGAGGTAAGAAGGTCCAGGGAGACACACCTTATTCCGTAATGGATTAGCTTCCTGATCAATGTTTTATGAAGCACACAATCGAACGCCTTGGGTAATTCACAAAATATTCCATAAGCGTCGTTAGTCCGAATATATAATCCTCCCGAACGTCATAAATGTGATTAAGAAGTTCTACAGTTGTTGAACCGCTTTAAAATCAAACTGTTTGTATTTTTTTATATTTGATGTACAATTATTTTTTCAAAAGTTTATTAAACGTAAATAGATTATACGGAAATAGATCTAAAGTCAGTGGGGTCAGAAGTATTACGGAATTATTTTACTACACTTCAACTAAAGACCAGGCAATGAACCACGTTCAATACGGTTGACTTTAACAATGACTGTTACTTTGAATTTGTCTTTGACTTTGATTTTGATTGTGACTTTATACTTTGACTTTGGTTGTGACTTTAGGCTAAAGCTTTAGATTTTGGCTTTGTCTTTGACTTGAGTTAGAGTTAACTGTAGCTGATGTATACATGTCTCTCCCCCAGCTGCGTGGCGGACAACAGCCTGGGGCGCGCGCGGCAGCACGTGGAGGTGTCGGGGCGGCCGGGGCCGGCGCGCTTCACGTCGCCGCCGCTGGCGCGCGCGCACACGCGCTACCTGCTCGCCTTCGCCGTCGACAGCTACCCGCCGCTAGACGAGCTCAGGCTGCTATATCGACAATTGGCGGTGAGCTTTTACAACTTCTTTTTTTAAGGATAGGGAAATCTTCAAAAGGCTTCTCGGCGAGAGAGTTCTCTTACGAACCAAAACCCACCCCGTTCCTTCTCATTATTAAGCTTGGATGCAAGCAACTCACCCTAGCAAACTGTTTTTACTGTCCATAGAGGATATAACCAGATATAACCTAGAAATTATAGTTTTCTGAGATTTCGCAAAACTTAAATGGGAATGACCTGCTTTCGTTTGCAGATCAACGAGTCATTTCAACAGCCAGGCAGATGGCATGACGTGGTGATTCCAGCGCCGGAGCCGGCCGGCTCCCTGACGCACCGGGTCACGCACGAGCTCCGGGGGCTGCAGCCAGGAGCCGTGTATGAAGCCATTGTGCAAGCTAAGAACAGATATGGATGGAATGAGGTGAGAATTTTTTGTGTCCATGGTGTGGTCTTCTGACTCTGACTGGTGACGAACGTTAGACATGAATCCTAAAATTGGACAATTGGATGACGTCATAAATCCTTCATCACGCCATTGGAATTTGCGTGCGAATAATCACTGATAGAAAATCCCAATGTTAAACTGTTGGGCAGTAGCCCGCCTGTCTGATCACCTCTCTCATGCTGGATCCTCCTTTTCCGATCTAAGGGAACTTTATTCTCTGTTCTCTAAACTGGTAGTGACTGGCAATGTAGTCGCGTGTGTGACTATCAAGCACGGGTTTCTCAGTCGGGTAGTGAAGCTAATTTATCTTGGATTTGTACCGGTTTATGCCAACAAGCTCTACTCAAAATCACTGATAATAATTAACTCTGTCTTCTCCTTCCAGTATTAAAAGAGTCGTAAGAGCTGAATCATGATTTGAACCTTATACCTGAACCTTATAAACTGCGATCTTCAATCCAAAGTGTGCAAATTGTGGCAGAATTACTCTCTTATGACGAGGAACCTCAGTAACCAGGAGTGGACTATCAAGGACTGATAATAATGGTCTTTTTCAGGTCAGCGACATCTTCCAGTTCCATACTCTAGGCGGCACGCACACGGCACATGCAGACGAACTAACACCAATGTTCGCGGCGACGTCCCGGCCAGAACTGGCAAGCTCCATACTCCTCGCCTTAATATATACCTTACACCTCATTTGAACCGACCAATCAGCGATCTCCGTTTCAAATTTTTGACGTTTGTTTTTTTTATGTAATCGTAAAACGATGTGACACCAAACTTTTTAGTCGATAAGCTTTTTATAAGAGTTGTGACATTGATGCGTTAACGTAATTTGGTTAAATATTTTGTATCCATTTTGTCGTGGTTGGAGCGCGGTTTTAATGTTTCACTTTTCCAAAAACTCCCGTGTACGCGTGGTTTCGCCATCGTGGTAAACATTAGATAGAATCAAAAGAAATCAAGATATATTCAACATTGTTATACATTTATTTATTCAGAACAATATTTCACTGACAACTGACATTTAAAACCGTTTATTTATTCAAGACAATATTTCACTGACAATTGACATTTAAAACCGCGCGCAAATGGTATCAAAGATGGCGTTTGAAGCTTAAATTAATGTTGCCATACCTCAAATCATTCTACCATTTTGTATAAAACGCATAAAACCTCTAGGGATCTTTGGAGTTTAATTTTTTATATTATATTTTGTGACTGTAAGCGCACACTTCAAATTAATTACCTATTATTTTATATTGTATAGATGCTGGTAACGATGTAATTAGCAGTAAACTATAGTGTAACATGGAGATTTCTAATGATTTTTTCTATTATAAATAAATTTGACAGCTATTAGTCTTGGTAAAAGCAGAATTTACTATGAAGGCTTTCAAGCCTAGCTTAGCTACTACACGTTGAGTGCCATTAGCATATATTTCATAAAGTCAAAGATCTTTAGCTGCACTAGTACCCCTGGCGGGTAAATCTCTCATTAATGTATTATTTAGGGCTGATTTTTCAATGGTTAGATAAAAGTTATCTGGGGAATAATTATGACGCTGGCACGTCACAATGCTTGTATAAGACAGTGACAGCAACAGTTTTATCCCTTAGATAAAATTTATCTGACTATTGAAAAATCAACATTATGAGACACGAAAATCGTTAGAAATCGCCATGTTTTTTTTTTCTTTTTTATTTAAAACATTCCTTTCTAACTAAGGGAACCTAATGAAATCTAGTCGTATCACAATCAAACTATATATGTATGTATGTATGTATATTATATAATTTCGCATAAAAATACGCTTTTTAAATGTTTTTACAAAACAATAATAATAATATTTTTATTGGAAACATCTATTGTAAAGTGAATTTACTAATAATATGTAGCATGTAAACTTATTATAAGGAAATACAGAAGGCGTTTAGGTAAAGGTTAGACTTCTGTGATGGACGACTTTTGAATTAACAGCACGTCAGCGGTAATAATATAATGTTTTTAGTTCATTCGTTTAATTCCCCAACTAACCCACAAGAGGTCGGCCACCCACTTATAATAACTCCTTTGATATTACGAGTGTCCATGGATAGCGCTGCTTGCGCGGGTCTGCGGACGGCGAGTAAGGGTAGCTCGCCGCCCGACCAGAACCAGACCCGAGCGTACGGCGCGTAGCGTTCCGCGCGCGTCTCAAAGAGCCAATAGACCACCACAGACGGGGCCCTTTTAGGGTTGATGTTCAGCCGGGGTTGCGGGGTAAGCACAATGAGGCACCGCGACCTCGGCCCAGAGCAGGAGAAGGAACAGGGGTTTTTAGTCAGTAAGAGTCTGACACTCCCTCCCGCCCGGCCCTGGGCGGGAGAAGTCATTTGATGATTTTCCCCTCACAAAAAAAAAACACCCCATTCTGTCCAGATTGCTTACCAGGTAACTCGACTGTGCATTTGATCCAAAAGCTTTTTCATTTAGTAATGGTGTATTTGGTTGCTATTAGGCCTGGTGGCGAGCGATGATACAACCTACGATAAAACACGAGCTCCCATAAGCAACCTATTCACTTGGGCTTGAACACACCCAGACTAGCAAAGAATTCCATTTCTTCGCAGATTTGATAAAAAACTTTCTTCTCGTTTAAAATAAGACTATATTCCAGTCAAATGTTGACCGATTTACGAATTGCGAAGATGAAATTGATGTGAAAGAAAATAGACTCTTACTGAATTAAATCCCGTTCAATATTCTGCTTGGAACTGCACCTACTTTGGCATTGTTAGAATCTTTCACCCATCTACTACATGTGACACAACTCGCTATACGCGGCAGTTGCAGCTGTGTGCTGTCTGTCACTCACTCAGTAACACTGCAACGAGAGAATTGGAACACAAATTAATTTCTTACAATCAATACTTCACAAAATATCAAGAAATATTCTTATATTGTTACCGTTGATGTCCAAAAATGTTGTTACACAACATCATTCACGGATCGACAAAACCGTTTCAATCTGAAAGAAAGACTAAACGATTTGCAATCTTTTTTCAAGTTTCCGGTTACCGGCATGTTTTTACGAAGATAATTGTGTATTAAAGTTATACTTTTTCAAACCAATCGACTAGTAAAATTACACGCGTGACGCCATCTCCGATATAAAAGGCAAGAAGATAAAACCGGCGTGAACCAGCTCTTGGTTTATTGCTTGCCGTGTTAATCAGGTTAGCGCAGACCTAGTCCTTACTTCTTCCCTTCTACAGCTCCCGAAAGGTCTTCAAAACACTCGTATAGCTTTGCAATGCTAAATTGCTTACCATCAGGTAAAAAAGTGTAGTTTTAATACACAATAACCAGTTCAACTGATATGGAACGTAGGCTCAGTAAGTATTTAAGTAAGCAATAATTGTGTTAGTGATAATGGCTATTTTAGAAGTAAATAATGTGTATTACAATACCAATTTTTTTGTTATTTTCGAAAATTTTACCTAGTTTTTCGTTAGTTTATGGTGGTTGCTGACGTAGACAAATTTCATTAATGATAATAATATGAAAAGAAATGTCCTAACTAACGCAAATCAATCTAAATTTTTAAATTATTTTTAAAACTTGCAACATTGCTGTTATAAAAAAAAATACTTGACACTAATGACAGCTCATATTTCCCGCCAAATTTCAGTTCAGTTTACGTCAACAACCACAAAACTCGATGAAATTTTGAAATTAAATCAAAATTTTAGTCCTGAATTGTAATTTAGGTGCAATATTAAGTTAAGGTGTGAATTCAAAAGCAATACTTCGACACATCATTAGGTTTTCGTAAGTAATTAATATTATTAATTAAATTTTATGTATTTTTCTTTTTACGTTGTCAAGGGTAATGTTAGTCAAATATTTGATACATTATTATGCTCATAATGGCTGCCCTGTATTTATCAATTTCAATACTTTTATCGAAATGTCAAAAATAATACGTATAGCTATGAGTTTTGTACCAAATGCCAACTAAATGACTATAAATAATGCTTATAAATCAAAAAACATTATTATGGACGTTATTTGAATTATAAACATTTATAAAAAAACTCGACTATTTTAAATTGTTTTGAAATTTCGAAGCCAGTTGCAGAGAATAGTGAAATAATTTTTACTTTTTAAATTGAGTGCGTTGGAAGAGAAATCGCGCGTTTTATTTTGTTATTTTAAAACGAAATCAAATATCGCTAACATTACTTACACCAAAAATAAATTATGTATGTAAATGATTTCCAAATTTCTTGAAGAGTCCAAAAGAATTATATTATAGAATTATATTATTATACTTATATAATATTAATAATAAACTTAAACTGATAAGTAACTTTTTTTGTACTATAAACAATTTTTTTCTACAGATTTAATTCATTTTGAATTGTTTGTGGCAATATTATTTTGAAAATGGAAGTATTTTTGTGTATCTATTTAGATTATAATTTATAGAGTATGCAGATGAAATATTTTTTTTTCATGTTCTTTATACTGGACTCAACACAAAACGGTAGTTTCCAACTAATCAAATTCAATACTTTTATTGTAATATCATAAACGATACTTTTCTAAGACATCGCATCGACATGTGACGCCAATACGCCATTAGGTATGTTTTTACATCACATTGTATAGTTATTTCTGAAAATTTCCTAAAAACTACATCTACTAAAATGAAATATGGAGTCAAGTAAGTGTGGGAGAGCCATGCTTCGACACGAATAGGTCGGCACAATCGGAGTGGATACCACGGCCTTACAGAAAACCGGCGTGAAACAAGCACAGCGTTGGTGTTTCGCCGTGTGAGTAAGGTTACCGGAAGCCCAATCCCTCCACCTTCCCCCATCTATTTCCAATCCTTAAATACCCCAAACCCTAATCCCCAAAAGGCCGGCAATGCCCTCGTAACTCCTTTGGTGTTGCGGGTGTCCATAAGCGGCGCTGTTAGCGTACCATCAAGTAATATCGGCTTGATTGTCGTAAAAAAATCTACGAAACAAAATATGATTATATTTAAATTTTAATAATTCATTGTATTGAAAAGTCTAAAAAAAAATATTTTTCATCTAGGAAACTACCCAATTTTCTTTGAGATATTTTCATCTGTTCTCTATAGAATATAATCTAAGTTACAAAATATAGAAAAAACAATCACTGCCTGATTTTTCTTCTGCAGATTTTCGAATACCTAATTTTTTCGTTAAAAATACGTTTTGTAATAAAATTATTATGTATAGTACGGCCGACGTATCTAGGCGAGTCTGAAGTTAGCCGTTTGTCTGCGCAATGGATGTTTTAGGAACAAAATTGTGTACTGCGCAGCTAATCAGTTAACTTCAGACTCGCCAAGATACGTTGACGGTATTGCAATTAATAAAAAAAAATCAAATAATCGGCCATAATATTATTCTATCTATGAAGGAACTAGAGAAATTGTATCTTTTTTTAGAAAATTGATAATACTTGGTACTTTATAAAAATATATATTTGAAAATATTATATATATACCTAATGATTATTATAATTATTATAGTTCGTACGGGAATTTGTAAATTTGATGGGCTGTAGGAATTCGCCTTTTTATTTGAGGAAAAAACTGAAAACCTTGTATGTAGAAATAAATAAACATGTAAGTTTATTATATTATGTTTTATTTATACCGCTACCGCCAGAAATAAC